ATAGATAGATCTTAGTACAAGTAGCGAGTAGAAACCTAGAAACCCCGAAAAGCGGGGTTTTTTAGGTAGAATCAACCTAGGACATTTCAGCTAGCACTCCGCCATGGGAAAGGAAAAGACTCATATTAATATCGTCGTTATTGGCCACGTCGATTCAGGAAAATCGACCACCACTGGTCATTTGATCTACAAATGTGGTGGAATCGATAAGAGAACTATTGAAAAGTTCGAGAAGGAGGCCCAGGAGGTAAAATATTTGTGACTCAGTAGTGAGTAGTGTAGTGTAGCGTTAGTTCTCGTTAGCTTATTCGCATTCCAAAACCTTCAAAATATTCTTCATTCAAGTAAGAATGACAAAATTGGTCGCAGACAGATTTCAGTATGTTGCGCAACATTTGAAAACTTTCGAGGATCTTTCGCAATAGTATTGCCTATCAATTGACATATTGCCAGTACCGGACGCACTTTTTGTTTGAAAGAGGGCTTAGAGCGTATAATATCGATGAAAGTTGGTAGAACGTGAACCTTTTGGCATTCAAGATTTCGACATCTCTGATTACATCGCTGAATCGATACTAAGGAAATTCCTTTCCATCACCATCGATTTGTTGCTTCTGCACTTCTCTCATGTTATCCTCAATGAGGAATCTGCTAGAAGAAGGACTGAAAGAAGCAAGAATGTTTTGACGGATTTCTAAAATTTATGCAATTGTTGTGTTGGGAAATGAAAACCTGCTATTTTATGCACAAATAGCCGAATCCGATGTTTACAACAGATATTAGTGCAGACCATATAGTTTTGTTACCAAAACATCTTAATTGATATCGAATCGTCTAATCTGTGATATAGCAGCATACACTACACTAAATACAGCAAAAAATCTGAAGTCAGAATTGTTAAAGTGGAACCGTCTCGTTGTTTGAGGGTCACCTTTCCCCCATTGATTTGAAGGTGCAAACTGACAAAGTCAGTGCCACGCATTAAAGGGCCATTGTTGTTGTGACTAGTGTCACCTTGACAAACGAGAAATCGCCGGTAGTGGTTTGTGACAAGCATGAGGAACTGCTGTCCTTTTAAGTAAGACCTATTCATTACTATTTGGAAATATTGGTCTCCCTGAGACTTTGTGAGGGGGATCTGAAATATTACCTCTGTAGGAGACTGTGGGTCGAACATAAATCTGCTTGACAGTTGGTGTAAGGACCTCTTGAGTGTTAGTTGCAAAAATTAGAGGTGGTCTTGTACCATGGTCATCGTTACAATGATGTCAACAAATTCTAGTATCGTACGCTGAAATTAGAAAGTTTGGCTTGTAATCC